TGCTCTCTGGGAGCTGACAAGACGAGAAAAATACTTTCAAAAACTTCTCAAAGTTCAGCACAGGGTCTGTAAGGGGGACTGGTGGCAGCCAGGCCAGAAACATATTTAATATTTTATTCCAGCCTAAATGTCTCTTTGAACCTTGTGGTCTCACTCTGAATTTTGAAGTCGTAAATAGATGTTTCAAAGCTGCAGAGCGGCTTGCACTTTAAAGGTCCTGAGAGGACAATAAATCATTTGGTCACACGTTCCGTAGCTACACCGCTACACCGGCCCTCTCTGGATCAAACAGCTCTCTCAGCATCTCTGTACCACTCTGCTACTCAAGTATGAAGTTCAAGATGAGAGAGAGAGCTCTGTGAGGACTTACATTCCTATAAGTGTTGCATAATCCAATTGTCATACCACAGACATATCAATGACAAGGTGTATAACAGCTCAGCCTTACTTGAATTTAATCATCTTTGTGGATTTAAAAAAAATCACACGGAACTATCAGATTGTCCCTGATGGTTGAAAATCTACACGCTCAAACATTTCTGCAATCAAGTCAATACCAGGGATTCTTGTTTGACCCACCTGGAGGAAAAAATTATGGCTGTGAATGTCATCCACAGTATAACGTAGCTTCCCATAGTCGGTTTAGTGGCTCATTTCCTTACAAAAGGAACTCTTACCTGAGTGGAAAAATAAAGACTCGGGTATGCAGGGTTTTTACTGATACTTTAATATTTTATCTCTCAATGCTGTTCAGCAGATTCTCTTTGTTTTGTTTTTACATGTTACTAGAGACTGTTCTCTGAGACTGCGGTTAATGTGTGCTACAGTCACAGTAGAGTAACCACAGCTTGCTAAAGAGTGCCCTCTTGTGGTTAATTTCTATAATGTCTGAACCATTGAGTGACTCCAGCAATTGCCATAGACATTATGAATGAATTAATAAATGAATGAATCATCTTTATTGGCTTTATACATAGAACAATGAAATATGGTTTGAGATCTCTTAAGATAAAAAAAAAACAATAACAAAAATAAAATGAATGCATAAATAAAGGATGGATAAAGAAAAGAATAGATGGTAAGAACAGATGAGATAAACAGCATCATTGTAAATGATTTGGCCACTTTAAGGTGTCAGAAGTGTCCTCAGTGCGTTATCTGTATTGAAGTTTCTATGATATGTCTATAATTACTTGTGTACTGTTATGATAGCTGAAAACTGTTCCTGAGGCTGTTGGTTCTTCTTCTTATGGTCCTGAACCGTTTGCCAGATGGCTCTAGAGTGTTCTGTGCTTATTGATAGTCTACCTTCTACTTCATGCTGATGCCCAGGGAATTACCCTTGACCTCCCAAAGTCAATAATCATCTCTTTTGTTTTTGAGGTGTTAACAATAAGCTCATTGTCTCTACACCACTCAGGCGGATGACCCACTTCCAGCATATAGGCACTTTCATTCTTGTTAAAAATGAGGATGAAGTCCAAATCGACAATTTCCTGAGTTACTTGCACTCAGGATGCACCAAGCAGGTTACCACACACAGCACAATAATCTGGCATCAAATAAGGGGATGTCTCCATCTTAAAACAGACCAACTGCAACCAGGTGTGTAATCAGTGGTGCTTCTCGGGTGTCAGGGTGGAGACAAGGGCAAAACTCCTACTCTGAAACACAACACACACACACACTTACAGAAAGGACAGGGGCAGACTTCTAAGCACATTGCAGTGGCTTTCATCTAACTGTTGTGTATATTGTTGCCACACTACTTTTAAGAGAACTCTCATGAAGAGAGCTGCCCAACGTTTTAAGATTTGTTTCTGATCTGTTTCTAACCTCTCCTCCAGACTCCACCTGGCCTCCATCTGCCAACACCCAGGAACTGTCAAACCAGTCTGGGTCTTTTTGGCCTCCTTTTATAGGCAAGGAGGGAATGTGCCAAGTGTACTGGAGACTTAAATAATCTATTTTAAACATTCAAAGAATTGGGACATTTTCTATACTTGTGCTAATGTCCCCACTGTTAACTTATCATTATATTTGAATGAAAGATTAAGCATTGCTTTAACTTATTTAATCCTTTCTTGATATTGAATTTTTATATAGGAGGCTGGGGGGAGCCACTGGCTATTTAGTCAGCAGTTGCTAGTGCTCTCAAGGACTAGTGTGTGCTAGGTGAAGATGGAGACTAGCCATAGTGGCTTATTGTCAGGTGCCCTACAGGGCTTGTATGCCAGTGCAGAGCTGTTTCTGTTTAGTTTAGGATTATCTTTAAGACTTGGAGAGGTGTTATTTTTTCCACTGTTTCCTTAGATTATTCATGAATAAAGACAATGATTTGATGCATGTAAAAATATGATTGACTGTCTTTATTGTTTCCTCCTATCTCTCTGTTCTCAAAAGTGAACACAGGGAGATGAGAGATGAAAGGAAGAGGTTGGAAAAGAGGGTGAAAGAAGAGGGTGGAAAAACAAAGGGATAGAAAGGTGGAAAGAGGCAGAGGAGAGAAAACCCCAACAATTCCTTCTGAGCAAGCACTAGGTAACAGTGGGGAGGAAAAACTCCTTTTAAACAGGAAAAAAACTCCAAAAGAACCAGGCTGAGGAAGGGACAGTCAACTGCCTGGACTAGTTGGGGGGTGAGGGTGAAAAAAGAAGAGGTGATAGGAGAGAAAGGGAGAGAGGGGAGAGGAGAGGTGGAGGAGGAAGCAGGAGGGTTCCTCTTCCTGAAAAAGTGGAAGCGTTTTTTCTTCTTTCTCAGGCACTGTTCCTGGAGCTCTTTTATCTGAAGGATGAGATTTTTTATGTCATCGATTGTTTCTGCATTTTGCTTCTCAAGTTTCTTGAGTCTTTTCTCCAGTTCTTAAATGTTGCTTCTTTTTTTTTCTTCAAGCTTTTCTTTCAGTTTTTTAGATTTCACCTCCTGTATTAGCTTTGTACTACGTTGTACAACGCTTTGTTGTACATGTCTTCTAACTCCTGCATTCTCTTCTGCATTTCATTGAAGCTCCACTGCATCTTTTGTCCTTCATTTTGTTATAACATTCTTGCAGTTCTAGATTTTTTTCTCTTAGTCTTGGAGAACAGGTTGCCTTTCTTTCTGTATTTCTTCCTGTTGCACTTTTTTTTTTGCATTTTTATGCAGTGCTTCATCAAGCATTATTTGAAGCACTTGGTGGTTTTTGTCCATGTATTGGAGTTTGCACTCCAGTTGCTTCTTCTCTTGAAGAAACTCTTAATTTTTTTCCTGTTTTAGTTAAAGTTTTAGTTAAAGCTTGTAATTCTTTATCTCAGTTTCTCTGAGACTATGATGTATGTCCATACCAGTAGCTTTAAACTCGTCCCCTTTCATCGGACACTTGTTTTAATTGAGCACACTTTTTCTTGTTTTCTCTCGTCAGGTCTCTAATCTGCTGGCGTGCTTGACCAAACATTAATCCCCAGCCCTCACTTATAAACTAAATGTTGGGCTTGTATTGTGTGTTTTTAATTTGTTGGTCATGTCAGCACCTTCAGACAACAATGATTTTTTTTTTAATAAAAAAGAACAAATTTTTTTTTTTTAAACTGTTTGAATGAACATGAAAAGAGCAATGGAAAGGATTTCCACGCTATTAAATGTTATTTTAACATTATGAGATTCTGTTATTCCTACTTAATGTACGCATTTAGTGCAACTGAGTCCAACTTAATTTAAATAACTTAAATTAGGGGCCAGTCAGTGGCAGGGTCATCCCTGGATAGGTGGTCACCAGTCCATCACAGGGCTAACACAGAGAGACAGACAAGCATTCATACATATGGGTAGAATCACCAATTAATCTAACCCCACTAGCTGCGTGTCTTTGGACTTAAACTCAGGACATTCTTGTTGTGAGGTAACAGTGCATATAGCATAGTGTGTGTATGCTTTTCTGCCTCTTATAACCCCAGTGATTTTCCTGTGGTTTGGAATCTCGTGTGATCTCGTGCAATTCGCGAGTCCAGGCAACTAGCCACTCTTACTAGATTGTATCATTGTGTCATCTCACCAAGAATAAATTAATTTGTTGAATTCCATGCAGATCATACATTATTTAATTACGTTCACCATAGAAACATTAAATTATTTTGTTCAAATTAATATTTAGACTCTTGTAAATGTAACAACAACCCAATTTATTTTTTTGAGTGCGCAGGGGCCGGAGGTCTCGGCTGTGTCACTGAAGGGTATTTCTCTACGCCCGCCTCTCCTCCCCGTTCCTCCCCTCCACAGAGGGTGTCGTGTTGAAGTGACGAAGAGTTCACCTCCCTGAAGGCTTTGTCCCTCTCCAAAGCCGCCAGCATGACCTGCTTTAAAACGACCTCATATTTCTCGTTCATCCGCTTCACCGCAGGTTCGTAGCTGTTGCACTGCATCTTGACTTTCCTCATCTCCTCGATGAGTAGGTTTTTCTCCTGGACAACACGCTTATGTTGCATCCGGTGAAAGTCTCTGTTTTTTTGCACCCTCACCAGAGTCCCGGCTGCTGCAGAGACTGTACGCCTGTACTCCTCCATCTCCTTCAGAGCGGTTTTCAGCTCATTTTCCAGACGCTGGTTTTCAATGTGAACGAATGGGGTCACCATGAGACCCTCTTCCTCCAGCAGTCCTTTCTGCACCACCTCGTTCCACTCGGTTTGAAAACAATCGAGGGTTTCTGTCATGCCCATTTGGAAGAGAAAGTTCCGTAAAAAGTCAACTACGGCTGGTGGTTTGGATGTTCTGTTGGTTGAACTGGGCCTTGCACTGGCTTCTGCCCGGTCTTGGATGGCTTTCACCGTCGCTTCCAAGTCTTCTTCACCTTCTTTTAAACTCAATTCGTCTTCTGCAGAAATGTCTTCACATTTAAAGTCATCATTACTGTCAGGCGATGTGTCGTCAGCCACTTTCTCTTCACTTTCCTGCGCTGCATCCATTGCTTCGTTCAGCCAGAGTTTGACGTTGCTATGGTAATACGGCGCTCACTCAACGCGAGATTTCACAAGCTCGCGTTTCCACCGTTCCAGCAGTCATTAAACAATCATGGCGGACTACCGAGAGGCGCCCTTGGCCACTCGGCCAAAAACATTGGATCCAAACGAATATTTCAACCTTTCGCCGGAGCAGAGGCGTGCCGAAGAAGCCAGGGGTGCACTGCGAGCAAATCTGAAGCGCCAATATCAGCTGCAACTCAATAACCCGCACAGAAAAGAGCTCATTGTGAGTGGCTACTTGCTAGTTAGCAATGTCACCCTTGAAAAGGGCTCAAGTTATTGGCCAGAATGCTAACGGGTAGCATTAGCGGGGCACAGCGGTGACTATATGTATTTATCTAGTCTAAATTTTAGATAAGATTATAAACGAGACCTTCCACTCCATGCTAGTCACTACTGCATTACGAAGATCGTTTACGTCTTGGGAACCGAGCGCTACAGTACAGATTGCTTTCTTCCTGGTGTGCTCTGAAAACTGACTGGTGACAGAAAAAACCCGACCCCTGCAGTGTTTTAAATTAGGGGGTCTCGTGGTTCTGTTATGTTATGCTCCTAGGGAGCATTTCGCTAACATGGTTTGGGTCCACTTCAGTCTTTAGTGTGAGGGGTCATTGTATCCTGTGACGAAACATGTCTTTACAGCTTGGAGTAGCCCCCATCCTTTAGGCACCAGGTTTCACTGAATGATTTCATCGTTATATAAAATAGTTTGAATCATATGCCATGGCCTTTGCTGTCACCGGACCCCAACCCAGCTCGACACTTATGAGAGATGGTGGGCCAGCATGTTATACAGCATGCTGGCCTGTTATACAGGTCAACCACAATCATCAAAACACAGTATAACCGAATATCATGTATAATATCTAATGACTTGAATCGCTACAGTGCAGGTTCTGCACTGAAACTTAAAGTCATAGCAGATGTCCAACCAAAGTAGCTGTAGCAGCTCTTCATGCTGACTTAGTTTGTCATCTGGCTGGATATACTTCAGTTCTTCCATAACGTCTTTATGGTACTCAGTGGTGTAGTTGGATTACCTCATTTTTCCATCTATACTGTGTGCGCTGTGATTGTTTTAAAGGCAGACATTTTGCTATGTTACTTTTACTGTTACATTTTATAATGGCTTTGTTCTCTTAAGTTCATGAAATTGACCGGCAAGCACAATACCAGTAAATTAAATGTACCAGTAAAGTAAATGTAAACTGTGTAATGTAAAATATGTACACCAGGATTTTTCTGGAAAAATGAGCTGTCCTTGAAAAATGCCCCCCCCCCTCTCTTTTCTGCTGTTTCCTGAGTTTTCCCCACCTAAAATAAAAGGTTTAAGTATGACAGATATTAATAATTTTAACGTCACTATGAGACTTTTAAATTTTAGTTGATTTGTTGTAAATATTGGAGTCTAGTTTTTCCGCTGTGAATTCTACATTTACATATGGTGATAAATGTCATTGCTTACTTCTGTCTGTACAGGAAGACCCTGCCTTGACACGCTGGGTGTACGCACGAGGCAATCCCTACGCACACTTCAGGCCTACAAACAAGACCTCTCTGCTGGGTGCAATGTTTGGAGTTGTACCTCTCTTTGCCCTCTACTACATCTTCAAGACAGACAGGGTATGAGACAAGAAACACTGTAGCCTTCTCACTCGCTGTCTGCTTGATCTTAATGGGTAGTTTAATCGGCTCAGCTGTGTTTTCTCATCACAAAAGTTTGTAGCGAGCTCTTGAACCACAATTTAAGCCCCACTGGCCCTCTTTAGGCTGTCTAAAGGCACGTGTGAGACTAGAAACTAGGAGTAAATTGCCAAGTATTGTTGGAGGTTAAAAAAATATCAGTGCATTTATTGCAGGAAACAAAACAATTCAGTATTGATTACATGGTTACTTTACACTGTTACAATAGTGGTCATTTTTCAGCCACTGTAATAATTTGACCATTTAGAGTATTTGATCTGGGTATTCATAAAATGTGATTTGGTGACAAATGCTGTCATAGAAACCTGAAAAGCTATTTAGTTGAAGATTGGGACTCATTATTCCCATGTAGGTGCACCGTTGATCTGGTTTTCTTTCTTTTGACACAGACCCGCTCACGTTAGAAATGAATGCTTCATCCAAAATGCTGCCTGCTTTCATTTTCTACCCCATTGTCATGGAGATTCACCGTCAAAGTCCTCGCCAATTGAGATTCCAGGGAGAATTTGGTCCAATTGTCACACTGCTGGGCTATCATATTTGTCCCAACCCCCCTTTTTTGGTGCTGGGAAGGGGGGGAAAAAGCTGCTTGAAAATCATAAAAAGCTCACTCATAAAACATGGAGTTTGAGAAAACGTCTGGAAGGTGATGAGGGTGAAGGCGATATGACTTTGTTTCTATGGAAACCGCACTAACCTATCATCTTTTTGTCATCTGTTTTACAGGATAGGAAGGAGGAGCAAATTAAGGCCGGTACCCTCGAGCGCAAGTTCAGTTTGTCATCTTGAGCCTGGGTGTAGAAAGACCCTCGTCCTGTGTGTTCTAGAGATGATGTCCATGTGTGTAATTATTATTAACCGAATAAAATTATATTGTCAAACCAGAGTTACGTGGCTTTCATGTGTGAAAGTACCATTTGCATGTCTGCAGTTATACACAGAGGCAAGGAGGATCTACTTGCAGACTGAAGGACTCGATTCCCCCCTCTCACATAAGTTCAGATTGGCACAGGAAAAGAAAATGCAAGACATGCTGATATCAATGATCCCCGTTTCACATAAAGCAAGACTATATATAGTCCAATAAAGAAGCACTGCAGTGTCATTTAGATATTAAAGGATAATGGCAATATTGGTACAACAGTGGCATGAGGGGTAAAGACAGGGTCATTAGTGGTCCTACCAAACACCTCTCAGTAAAACAGAATGCTGGTCTAAGGTTGCCTCTTATTGTTCCTTAATTTTGCAGTTATGTTTCTTAAAAATAAAAATACACATGTGACGACAATTTGGTTTTATACTTCTGTGAGAAGGAAATTACTTTATTCTTCCTGTTTATTCTGTCAACAGATCTACTCGGGGAACACAAATCATTGGATTGCGAGAAGTGAAATTTTTATTTTGATATATTTATTTTTGATTTGTTTGCTCTTAATGCATTCTGAATCACTGGGTTTCTACTGTTTGCCGGGCTTCCAGTTGGGGTTAAAGTGGCTGCGTAGAGGTTCCCAACATTGGTAGTAGTTCTTGTCAAGCTTCTGGCATGTATGAAGACCCCACTTTGTCACCGCCATGCTGAAGGACGACTCAAACATAAAAGCCTGGTGATAGGAAAAAGCACGCTGTGATAAACGATACCGACTTGGTCATGTGTTAACCATATATATATTTTGTTTGATTACCATGGTTCCCTCAGCCACCCTCTCAGGTTTGAGTTCAGCAGTGCTGTTCTTCTCAAAGCAGTCCACGTCCGGGCCATGCGGGGTCATTATGCTGTGGAGACTGGCCCCTCCTGGCTGGAAACCCTCCTCTTTGGCCTCATAATGGCCTTTGATCAGACCCATGAATTCACTCATGCAGTTACCTACAGTGACAAGCAGGAGGAGCTGTAACACAGCAGCGTCATGTGTCTAGTTTGCTGTTGAATGTGCCAGGTGTAACACTGATTTCCGCTAGATGGCCTTATAGGTCTGCAATGAAATCGGACAAAAGGAGACTATTGTGGGGTCTCCATTGAAGTGAGTCATACAGCAGGTGGTTTGTTCTCACCTACTGCCTTGACACAGGCTGGGTAAATGGATGTGTGTGCGCGTGTGTGTCTTACGGTGATAGTATGGTGGACGGAAGGTGTGGTCAGCCACACCCCACCGTGGGGGGAAGATGACAAAGTCAGCAATGGCAACCCCTGGTCTAGTGGATTTGGCAGTAAGCACAGTAAAGATAGATGGATCCTATATAGAGAGATCATAAACATGCGACGGGTGAGGAGCACGGCTTTTTCCATTCAAAAGTGCTATTGGCGTGTCCCTAAACGCAACTCTCACCGCATGGTCGAAGGCCACACAGTTGATAACCATGAAGTTCTTCAGGTTGTATTTGTAAGGCGTGTAGTTACCGTGCCAGGCGACCACATTGAATGGCGAGAAATCCTACGTGCAGAGCACAGAACAAAACAAATAAGAGGAGTCTACCCAAGCAACAAACACAAAAGGCTTTAAATTGAGCTTTTCACAGGGAAAACGGAACAATGAATAATGTCTTTGTAATCTTAAATTCCCAGAGAGAGTACTTCTTCACATAAAGAGAAAAAAACTGGTCATAATGAAAAGGGTTGATTGTGAAAGAGGGTGTGCTTCTTTCATCCTTTCTTCTCTTTCATTCCCCCCTTTTCTTTGTGATACGAGGCTCCAGGTATTATGGGGTAATTGGCTTCACAATCAAACTTTCCCAAACTTTGAGCATTTTGACGCTCGCAGCAGCGCAGTTATGGGGAGAGGGGAGCAGTGGGTGCAGAGATATTTCTTTATCTTGATTGTTAAAACCACAGCAATTTTATATAGTTTCTCTGTTCTGATAATGTCACTGCGAAAAAAGACATTCAACAGCAACTCTAAAATCAATATAGTTCATTACAACTCAAGCTGCCTCCATACTGACCTCCCTGCTCCTTTACACACAAGCTTTTCCACACACGAACAGCTAATACACACCAACGACGAATACTGGCAAATACATATACATACACAGATGCATTCACACACGCAAACATTCGTGACTAATGAACGCCGAAAACAACTTAACACACACTCAACTGACAGTAGTCGATGTACAAAGAGGCCTTCGGGAAATCCAGTGCAGGTAATTTCTTGGACATTCATCTGTGATAACTCCACTACATTCGATTAAAATGAAGGGAGGAAAATGGAGGCGAGCGAGCACTTGCGCGCACACGCACACAAAACACAAACATATTGGTCCAGTCAAGCAAATAATAAGTTAATTTGAGCAATTTCGGCACTCTGCGGGGGAACAAAACAGCAGGACCAGGCAGGAGCGGCAGAATCTTCCCTTATACGAGGCCTCCACCGCCCCATCTTATTTTCTTACCCCTGCAACCTCTCTGGTCCACTCTCTGGGAAGAGCATATAACTGGTGGCAGATACTCAAGCAGAAGCAGAGAGGAAGATGGGAAGAGGTCTGTTTTGCTTCAAAAAAAGAAAAGACAGTATCTTGCCCTAGTGTACTTCCTATGATGAATAATAACAGTGTGGTTTGACATGGTTTCCACGGTTACAACCCCCCCAACCCCCACCCCTGACAAACCTCTCCTCCCACCTCCTCCCTGCCTCAGTAAAAAACCTCCTGTCAGACATTATGTGTCGATCCAATTATGCGCCCAACAGGACATTTCGGGAGGGGGAGGATCATTCCCCGGCTGAAATATGTTGAAATTAATGCTTAACTTGAAAAAGGTTTTTTCCTACAAAGCAAAAGCTTCACAGGTACACTGTCTGCAGCTCCAGAATGCCTTAACTAATTATGAGTGATTAAGACTCATAAGGGAGTCGAGGCGGAAACCTGCTGAATGGATAACAGCTAATGCTTCGATATTAAATCATCAGGGATGGCAATTCAGTCGGCAGGAGCAGCTAATGGATCATATGCTTCACTTGGACAGTTTCCTGTTAGTCACTGCGGCAGTTCGATGGCGTTCACTGAAGCAGACACAAAACTAAATAGGGTAATAGGGCAAGTAAGCCATGTGTGTATGTGTGTGTCCCTGTCAGACCACAGGTACACGTGGAAGTACAGTGATACAAATGAAGTTGTGTGCAACAATAGCCACCTGTTGGCATGCAAACAGCTTCCCCTGGTATTTATTGATGACGGTGTAACCAGTGGGCACTTTGCGATCTTCATACCATGCAACCGGACACAGGAAGTCTCTCGGGTTAGCCAGACCATTGGCTCCTGCAAAACACACGCAAAGTGTCAAAGTAAAGGCAGTGTAGGCATAACCATGATGACAATGATAACAATAAAAAAAAATAGGAAACAATTGGGAGTGACAGATCATGTAATCACAGGTGGTTTCATGTAGTTAAGGTGTTAGCTTATTTAGCAATTTAGCTGTGCATTTTTTTGATATTTTAACTATTTGGAGATTATGTATTGGAATTTCAGGAGCAGGACCACGCCTCCAAACACGCTGTCGTCTATATAGGTTCACCCAGTTCTGCAAGCTGTTCATTCTCGTTTACCTCCCCCACCCTCCCTGCCTTCTTGTTTTCAATTCTTTAACTTGTTCATTTCTATTTGGTGCATGGGGGTCTGCCAGGGCAGGGATTCATCACCACTCCCCTTCGAGGCCTTCCCTCAAGCCATGTCAAAGCATTCAGCTTTACCTACCAAAACGCTGTCCAACCTAAAGTGAGGACGTGGGCCCAGCTAGTGAATAAAGGTAAAATAAAGATTAAAACAATTGTAGGTGCGAATACATTTAATGATAAAACATTATTTTTAGAGCCATGATGCTTTGTCGGAAAGCCAAAACATCTTTGGTGGGCGCAAGAAATATTTTTGTTATATGTAGGAAGACACAGAAATCACAAGCTAGTCACTAGTTTCCTAAATATCTAACAGCAATATGCTGCTCAAAGAAGGATTTTGTGTTGTTGTTGCTTTTTATATGTACTCTATAAACAAAACAGCAGATGTTAATCTCCTTAATAAAATTTCTAAGCAAGATTTATCCTCTGAGCACAGAGTGAGTTACGCAGAGAAAAGTGTGAACAGTTTTAGACATGGACATTCTGTTCCAAGACATAGATGTAAAGGAGCTTGGTGAGCACGTTTCAAGGAAAAGTGAAGACAAAGACGTATGCTGCACTTATATAGACTCACAAATATCATACAAACCTATTGGGCCAAGGTCAGGCAGTTCAAAATGGGCACCATACACCTCGAGTATGTAGCCTCTGGTTTCCCCAAACACATCCACACTGAAGCGCATCCCTTGCTAAAAAAAAAAAAATGTGAAAAGTGGCAGTGAGAGGAAATTTTGTCCTATTAAGTATCAACTGTGTGCTGTTTCAGTTCTGAACGGACTTTGAAAAGCACACGTGCTGCTGTCCAGGTGGTCAGGCTTTCGGTAGCTTAAAACCTCTTTTCCACCGTCGCTTATTTTTGAGGTCACTTTCAAAAAGCACCAAACAATGCCTTTCTAAATATGGTAAGTGGGATGTTGGGGCAGACACAACGGCAGATTTCTTTGAAAACAGGGGAAATGGAAAACATACAGCCCACCTGGATGACACAGATCTCGTTCGGCTCGACCATCATCTTCCCAAACTCTGTGGTGATCAAGATCTCTCCCTGCTGAGGGACTGCGCACACAAACAGACAAAGAGAGACACAGAGAAAAGAAAATTTGAACAAGAAGGCAGGCTGATGTTTGAGCTATCATTGTTCTTATGATAGATGACAGCGAAAACAACAACAGCGCTCCTTTCCTCACCAATCAGAAAGTCTCCGTCTGAGTTGTTGAAGCACCTGGAACAAGAATAAAATAAGATCAAAGGAAGGCTGGAAATGTTTTTCATCAAT